CTCGGACCAGCAGAGGCAGAACGACCGTCGGCAGAACACTCAACAGCAGCACCCCCAGAACCAACACCCCCAGAGCGAGAACCCCCTCCAACACCAGCGGCACCCCCAGAAGCCGCAGGACGAACACCCTCCTCCACACCAACACCCCCAGGGGCCAAGAGCGGCGGCGGCAGTGGCGGCAACGGCTGCGGCGGCGGCGACAGCGGCGACGGCTGCGGCAGCGACAGCGGCGGCGGCGGCGACGGCTGCGGCGGTGACGACAGCGGCGACGGCTGCGGCAGCGACGGCGACGGCGGCGGCAGCGGGGTCGGCGACTGCGACAGTGGGGGCGGAGGCACCGGGGAAGGGGGACGCGGCAAGGACGGACCGGGGGTACCACCAGAGTCAGCAGACTCCTCAACGGGGACAACCGACGGGAGGGGAGTGACGTGGGAGACACCAGACGGGGCAGGACGAGGCGGGAGAGGGGCAGGGGCTACCGGGGGAGAGGGAGCAAGGAACAGGGGGGGGGCAACTGGGAGACCTCGGTGAGGGAAGCGGCGGTAGAAGGAGACGGACTCGTCAAAGGTGACGTCACGAGAGTGGAGGAAGCGGTGAGACGGCGGGTGGTAGAAAAGCCAGTCAGACGAGTCCAGGGGGAAACCGAGGAAGACACAGGGGACAGTGCGGGCAGTGAGCTTGTCCGTGCCAGAGGCACGAACGTGAGCAAGGCAGCCCCAGACGTGGAACGCAGACGCGTCACCGGGGGACCCGGTCCAAAGGAGGGTCGGCGAAACCTGCGGCCGCTGGGAGCGTGGCCACAGGTTAAGCTGGTGAGCAGCGTAGCGAACAGCGAACGGCCACAAAAAATGGGGGGCATCGGCATGGATCATGGAGGTACGGGCGACCTCCATGACCAAGCCGATGCGGCGCTCAGCAACCCCATTCTGCTGTGGCGAGTCCGGCAAGGTGTACGACTGGGTGATGCCCTCCGCACGACAGAACTGTCCAAGCCGACCAGAGGCGAACTCGCCGCCACGGTCGGAGTGGAGACACAACACGGGGAGACCGCGGTGGAGACGCGCAGCCACAACCCACGGGAGGAGAACGTCGGGCACGTCGGCCTTCCGCTCCAGGGGAAACACCGTGGTGTAGCGCGTGTAGTCGTCGACGAGCACAAGGAAGTAGCGCTCACCGCGCGGTCCGGGGACGGGGGCAGGGCCCCAAACGTCCAAGTGCAGCGTCTGAAGGGGGGCAGTAGCAGGACGCAGCGAGGAGGAGTGAGGAGCACGGCGAAGCCGACCCTCGACGCAAGGCGTGCACGGTGGCGCAGTCGAGGGAGGAAGGGCAGGGAGCGACGCAGGGAGACCTAAGACAAGACCGTGCTGGGACATGTGACGCAGACGCGGGAGAGCAGGGTGACCTAAGCGGTGGTGCCAGAGAAGGGAGGGGTGAGCGAGGGACCGACACGAGCAAGCTGCAGCGACCTGGGAGGACGCACCAACCGGGGGGGAAGCGGTGTCTAGGGTAAACAGACCGGACACCGGGTCCCGGGGGAACGTCGCAAGGGGGGAACCTGAGACAGCCTCAGAACAGACAGCGAACCGCTCGTGCCCGGGGAACGTGGTGGTGACGCCGAGGTCCTGGAGACAGTCGACACCAACCAGGTTCCTGGAGAACGAGGGAACGTGGAGGCCAGTAAGGGAGCCTGAGGGAACTGCCGGACAGGGAAGGGACGTAGAACTGCGCGCGACGACCGGACCCGCAGAGGGGTCAGCGACAGAGACAACAGCAGGTGCAGCAAGCGGCGTGAGCGTGGAACGGTCGCGGAAGAAGCAGGCAGAAGCACCGGAGTCGAGAGTGAAGGACAGCGACGCAGTGGCGGAGGCCGGGGACGGAGCCGGTGCAGCGACTAGACTAGGCAACCTAGGCAGTCCTACGCCTGACGCAGCAGGGGAGGCTAAGCTACACAGTGGTGCAACACCTAAACTAGAGTACACAGGGTAATAAGATCCAGCAAAACTAGAAGTGTCAGAATACAAAGCATGCAAAGCAGCACCTAGCTGATCCATGTCTAACTCAAAGATCGGCACGCCCTGGCGGAGCAGGCTGTGCCAGTCGGGGAGGTCCGGGGCCGGGCCAAAGCGACGACGAAAGAGATCGTCGAGGCGGCGGAAACAGCGGGCGGTCGGGTGCGGGCGGCGGCACAGAGTGCCGCGAAGAGGCCCGGTCTGAAGCTGGTACTGGCAGGTGACAGCACCGGAGCCGCCGGTAGACGCCAAGCTGCGCGGACCGCCACCACGGCCACTACCTCCAGAGGTGCCGGGCCAACCAGGCGGGAGACGGGCCCACTGCTGCGGCGACTGCTGCTGGGACGGTAACTGCTGCTGGGGCGGCGGCTGCGGCTGGGGCTGCTGCTCTTGCCCACCAGTGGTAGTCCCCGCAGGCGGATTACCGTCACCACCACTACTGCAACCACCACCCCTACCCCCCTGGCGACCACGGCCACCGCGGCGCGAGCGCTGCTGCGGGTGGACCGCACCAGCCGACTCGGTGAGAGGGGCCGCCGAGGCGACCGCAGCCGAAACGTCAGTGAACGCACACTGGGAGGGGCACAACCGTGAAAGATAGAAACTGCCGGCGCACCGCTCGACTGAGCGATAGTGCGCTGGCGAGTCTCGATCTCGGTGAGGGTGTCGACAAAGGCAGTGAGAGTGAGGTCACCCGGGTGCTGGCTAAGAAAGTGATCGCGAGCACTAGCGAGGCGGTCTGGCAGGCGCATGGCGATAAAATAGAGCGTCATGCAGAAAGGGGGGGGAGCGCAGTGAGCTGGGCAGCAGTGCTGGCAGTGCGATAGCGGGTCTCTAGGGCACGCAGGTGAGTGGCAAAGTCTGCGACGGTAGGGAAAGCTGCAAGGTCTGGGAAAAGCATAGGGAAGAGCAGGCGACCAGCAGAAGCAGACGCGGGTGTGGAATAGCGGGCAAGAACAGCGTCTAAGTAAGCTTTGGCCGTCTCAATAGTAGCAAAACGCGAGCGCTCAGAGACAGGGAGGGCGTGGCTAATGGCAACCTGAGCGACTGCATCGCGGGAGTCCCAGACCGCACGAGCAAGCGCAGCAGTAGAGAAGGTCTCACGGTCATCAGAGGAGGGATCAGCAGGGAGGGGAGCAGGTGCGGGGGGACGGGGGAGCAAGCCGTCGACATGGACAACCAAAGAGTGGCCATCCTGGCGCTGACCTGTAAGGTGGCGGCGGAGATCGGAGAGCCAGGCGGCGAAGTCAACCGCATGGCCCTCGGCGTCCAGTCGGAGCACGAAGTCCGCCATCGTGCAGGGTCAGCGGCACAGCTCCACCGGAACACAGCGACGCAGGAACACAGGGACAGCCCCCTCCAGCACGGCGGCCGCGAAGCGCCTCAGCACGGGCGAGCAGAGGAGACGGAGCCCGAGGCGGCACGGCAGGACGAGCCGGGGCGAAGGGGTCAGGCAGGTGCGGTGGGGCCAGGCAGGTGCTGGCGAGGCCAGGAAGGCACGGCGGGGCCAGGCAGGCGCGGCGGGGCCAGGCAGGCGCGGCGGGGCCAGGCAGGCGCGGCAGGGCCAGGCAGGCGCGGCGGGGCCAGGCAGGCGCGGCGGGGCCAGGGAGGCGCGGCGGGGCCAGGCAGGCGCGGCGGGGCTAGGGTGGCGCGACGGGGGCCAGGAAGGCGCGGCAGGGCCAGGCAGGTGCGGCGGGGCCAGGCAGGCGCGACGGGGCCAGGCAGGCGCGACGGGGCCAGGCAGGGCGCGACGGGGCCAGGCAGGCGCGGCGGGGCCAGGCAGGCGCGGCAGGGCCAGGGAGGCGCGGCGGGGCCAGGCAGGTGTGACGGGGCCAGGCAGGGCGCGACGGGGTTAGGCAGGGCGCGACGGGGCCAGGCGGGCGCGACGGAGCCAGGCAGGGCGCGACGGGGCCAAGCGGCGGGGCCAGGCAGGTGCGGCGGGGCCAGGCAGGCGCGACGGGGCCAGGCAGGCGCGACGGGGCCAGGCAGGGCGCGACGGGGCCAGGCAGGCGCGGCGGGGCTAGGGTGGCGCGACGTGGCCCAGGAGGGGGGGGGGGGGGGCGACGTGGCTAGGAGGCGCGACGGGGCTAGGAGGCGCGACGTGGCCTAGCTAGGGTATGGGCGGAAGCGGTAGGTGGGGGATGCTAACCTACGCGTGATACCATGTCAAAGTGAGAACGAATAATGACTAGAGGTGGAAACCTAGAACAAATACTAGTTGGTTGTACTCACTAGAAGCATACCTCAGTCTAGCCTATAACTTCTACATAGATAATATGTATAAGTTGACAGGCTTGACACTACTAAGCCTAGGGGGTGTGTTCAAATTATACAAGTTATAATTTAATATAGGCTTGGTAGGTTGTTACTGAACCTTTCTGTAAGGGATACAAACCCCTCCTTGTACTCCTCTCTCTTCCTAATCCATCCCCTTCTTTCTCGTCACTTTTGCCTACTCCTAGATCTACTTGCCTCACGCCATTCCATGGCGTCCTTCCTTCCTTCCTAGCTAAGCTAGGTTCCTATGTTTAGTTAGTGTCCTAAGCTTCTTTGAGAGGTGTTACTGAACTCTATTGTAGAGGGTACAACTCCCTCCTTGTATGCCACTCTCTTCTATTCCAACTCTCTTTTCTCGCGTCAACTTCCTCTCCTAGCTCCTAAACCTCTCGCCATTTCATGACCGCCTTCCTTCATAACTAAGTTAGACTTCTAACACTGTTCGTGTGTACTCGCTGTGGCGAGCCCCAGGAAGGAATCGTAATTCCTTACACTCTGTCACACACCACATGGCTCTGCGTGTAGCTGCTTGAGCAAACTTAGATGTAACACTTGTCAAATAGGCATGGTATGCCAATCTGAACCACATCACAGGTTTGCAACTATTGTAAACATACACATTGCTATGAATGACTGCGTACACTAGCCATCCCCGTAGAAAGAATTAACTTAGTGCTACTCCCCTAATGATTGGTCTTAGGTAGTAGAGTTTCTGTTTCCATTGAAGTACTATTCGAAGGTGGTCAGTAAAAACCAATGAAGTCTATTTCAAGATGGAAAAGAAAAGCATGCCACATGCTCTGAGCAGGCCAGCAACCCTAAACCATGTTCACCAGTTGCACAGCCCATAGCATTATGGTAACCCATAATAACACAAACTGGGGGTGGAGGCCCAAAACAGGGGTGGGGTGGGGGGTAGGAGGGGACACATGCTACTACCTGATGCATTGAGCCAGAATGGCGACAAAAAGATCAAAAGGCTAAATCAACAGCCAGGTGAAGTTGAGGGTTTTATGTGCATTCTGAGGCAGATTGCAAGGAGAAAAACTCCGAATATAGTAGAGAACGTGGTTAGGGTACGTGGAGGAAGAATAGACACAAGGGCTGCCCCTTCAGAGTGTTGCACTCAGTGAATCCCAGCCGTGTGCTGCCGCACACATGGAACTTGGTGCATGCGCAAGCCTGCATGCATATACCGTAATAAGCATGGGATGGGAGAAACCGAAAACAAGTGGAGGATGAAGGCACCAGAAATGCATGGGAAAGAACAACGGCCGCCCATAGCAGGGAAAAGCGACACAAGACGAGGTAAGTGGAAGTTAGATAGTTGGAAGCCAGGCACACAGTAAGCACACGATGACAGGTGTCGCTGGGTGCATCAAAGAAAAGCTTTGATGAAGAAAATATTAGCGCACGCGTACACACACACACACACACACACACACACACACACACACACACACACACACACACACGCACCCACCCACACACAGAGGAACTGCAAGGAACTGCTCTCAGAGGATACTAAAAGGTGCACACACACACGCCCAAACATGAGGACACAGACGCGCACGCACGGACGCACACGCACGCACGCACGCACGCATGCACCCACACACACACACACACACACACACACACACACACACACACTCACGCACGCACACTCATGCTCACACGCACCTGTGAAGGCATGCAGCAGTATCGCTGAGCTCTCTACGAGCAGCTGCGCAGGGAGGCGAGCAGCGCCTGCACCTGCAGCAGCCATGCACGCAAGGCGGGAAACAAGAGAACGAGCGAGCGGGCATGAGGACGAACTACTGGGCAAGCATGGAAACGGACTGATATATAATCGTGATATATAACGGACTGATATATGAAATCTGTGGATGAGGGTCAAACGAGAAGGCTGCACGTGAACGTTGCGTAGCGATTGAAGCAAGATGGTTGCATTGGTGAAATGCTTGCGGTAGTGCGGACGTGTCAAACACGGAAAGCGACTGCTCTCACTCACCTTACAGACATCCTTATCCGCTTGACACGGACTCCCCGCCGCGTCGCCCATCTTTTTCTTCCCTTTCACGTCACCCGTCATGGCCGTTAACAGCTGCTCCAGACCCTCGCACACGCCCGCGTGCACCAAGTGCTGCCCGAACGCGCTTCCGCTCGCAATCACATTCCTTAGTATCACCACCCCGAACTGTTGCTGCAGCGACAGCGCTTTCCCCTGCTGCTCCGGCGCCGGCTGTAGCAGCTGTAGCAGCGCCCGCGCGCCGGCGGCGTCGTCTACAGTGCAGAGCGCCATCACTCCCTCCTCTGACCGGGTCAGACTCGCCAGCAGCGCGGAAAGCTCGACCTGCCCGTCAACCTGCCCGTTCGCCTGCCCGGCCAGGAGCATGGCGGATATTTGCGCGACGGCGTTCCGGTCCACCAGTTGCGCCGCCACTTCGCGCACCTGCGACAGGCGGAGCAGCGCGAGCGCCGCTGCCGCGCGCGCACTGGCACGTGGCGCTGCGTCCGCGTTCGGCGGTGCCGCTGACGATGACGAAGCAACCAGTATCTGCCACAGAAGCACGTCCGTGCCCGCAGAAGCCGCCACGTGTACCCTCGCCTCGCTGTGCAGCAGACAGTAGAGGAGCGCCGACACGTCAGCAAGGAGCGGGAATGACGTGGATGCGGAGGGTTCCACTCGTCGAAGGATATTAACTAGCAGCATCACCAGCCCCTCCTCGCTGAAACGCGGCGCCGCGCGCTCGTTAAGGAGGCAGAGATTAAGTGACGCTGCCACCGCCATGGCCGCTAACCTAGTCGTACCACCACCGCTGCTGCCGCTCTCCAGTGCGCGGGTGAGAGACGCCGTGGCGCCGTGCGATATAAGTAGCTCCGCTTCCGCCGCTCCTTGCGCGCTCATCTGCAGCACTACCGCCGCCGAGTCCGCGTTTCCCGCCGCCACTTGCGCCAGGAGCCTCGCGACCTCGTCTTGGCTTGGCAGAGCGGCGGGCGCGGCGCCAAGCGCGGCGAGGCAGGGTTGGCGGGCGGGGGAGGCGGAGCGGGACGAGCGCGCGGAAGCGCGGAGGTCGGCGGGGCGAGCGGGGAACTTCTTGAGCGCGACGGGGAAGTCGGAGGCGGAAGCGAGTGCGGAGAGGTAGTTGCGGCCGAAGTGAGAGACGAGCGCGGGGAGAAGCGCAGGGCCCGACACATCGCTGCGGAAGGCGGGGGATGGGTGGGGGAGTGGGGAGAGGGGAGAGGGGAGAGGGGAGAAAGAGAAAGGGGGACAGAGGAGGAGAGGGAGGGGGGGGGAGGAGGAGGAGAAAGAGACGGAAGGGTGAGGGAGGGGGCTAGGGATGGGGGGTGGCGCTGTTGAAGCGGGGGATGAGGGGAGGACAAGGAGACGCGGGGGCAGAGGTCAAGGCAGGCAGGGAGGAGATGCGGGGAGACGACGTTTCTGAGTCGACTCAAAAGCGGGAGAGCGGGGAGGAGATGCGGGGAGAAGCCGACGGAGGATGAGGGTGTGCAGATGCTCCTAGGCGGGTGGTTGTCACCGTTACAAAAACAGTTGACGGCTAACGGCGAGGGCGCGGCGAGGGAGCGGCGAGGGAAGGATGGGCTACCTGCAGGAAGAGGTGCCGCAGTTGGCGCACGATGCTCCCGCCTGCAACGAACCAGGGGGAAGGGGGAAGGTCCAATGCGGAAAGTGCGGCGGACGTAAAAGAGCAGAAGATGAGGCGACGGCAGGAAACAGAAACATGAGGTAACCGCACACAGTCCGCTGCGACGAGATGCGACGAGGCTCGAGTTGCCGCGACGACGTCAGAACGACGGGTCGCGTGCGAGTGCGAGAGGGAGCGGGAGGGGGCGGGGGAGGGGGGAGGGGGAGAGGGAGGGGGAGGGGGAGGGGGAGGGGAGCGTGATAAGAGGGTGACCAGTGAATGGACGAGGAGGAGGAAGAAAAGGGGGAAAGGGAGGGGGAGGGGTAGCAGAGGCGATGGGGAGACTGGGTGCAGCTGCGAGGGGACTGGTGGTGGTGGGCTAACGGGTCCACGTACTCCTACGTCCTGCGAGTTTCCGAGCCACACCATCCGGAATTCAAAGCACGAGCAACCTGCGGATTGACTTCCGAACCCTCGCTACGGCAGCGCGATGCGAATGCGCGCTTGTCTGTTATTCTCTCTAGAAACGAGGCTCGCACCCCCTCCGACGAACGCGGTGAATGGCGTCAGGCCGTATGGATCGAGGCCGGCCATCCACTCACAGCCTGGTGATCAGATTACAGCGAGCACGCTCACTCGAATCCTCTTGTGAGACTCTCAGTTACGCCTCCCTCCCGCACCAACGCATAACCAGCTAACGCCAGACACCCCGAGCCACTCGGCAGGCTCGGCTCGGCTTACCAAGCCTAAAGCTCACTCATCATCATCATCATCATCAGCAGCAGCAGCAGCAGCAGCAGCAGACGGACCTTCGATCGCATCTTGCTCCAGATGCCTTGCATCGGATTCGCCTCGATTTTCCATGGGCCGGACCGACGCGGCCGGCTCTCCTGCCCGACAGCTACTAGAGACGACGCCATGGAGCGATTAACTACGCACCGTCGCAGCGGGTTGGGGAATTTAGTGGCGGGTAACGCGATGCGTTAGTGGCGGTAAGGAAGTATTGACGGTGGCTGGGAGCGAGCGAGAGAGGGCGAACGGAAAGCACGGTCGACGTTTCGCACGGATTTGGGAGAGCTGGAGCACGAGAAAGAGATGCGTTGAGGAGTGTAAGGGGTAGCAGGCGAGCAGAGCGTGGGTTTCGGGTTGGATAATTACGCGCGGAGGAAGTAGAGCAGAACCTTGAAGAGTAAACAATAGGTATGGCAATAAAAACACTTCGTGGCTGATTGCAGAATACCAACACAGGGCTTCTCGAAAATCAGCAGCCTTGAAGCGAGAAATCCAGTTGTGACTTGTCGGGGACAAAGCTTAGTCGGTTAGCTTGGAAACGAGTGCAAGGGAGGAGATGTGCCACTACGTAGTGCAAGGAAGGGAAGGGAGGGAGGGACATAGGCTGGCGTAAGATCCTGTTGGAGGTTGGAGGGAGGAGGACGGGACGGGAGGCCTGCAAACTTGGAAACTTGTTGGACTCGAGAGAAGCGACTGGGCGAGTGAGAGGAAGGTGGCGGGGGGGGGGGGGGGACCTGAGCAGGCACGAATGGGAAGGAAGTGGGCAGCGGGTGGGGTGGGGGGGAGGGGAATCTCAGAATGTGGGACATGCAGGGCAGGAAACATGTTGATTCAACAAGAAGAGGAAGGGCTACAGTGTACATTTCAGCACCAAACAACATTTTTCCAGAACTGTTCGGTCTTGGCTTGCCCCCAGGACAAAATGGAAATCGAACCAACGAGCGTTTGCTTGCTTCGCTCGGTCTTCGCTGAGCTGTTTTGGTCCCCAAGCGTAACGGCTCGATCGGTCCGTTCATTATGCCATGAAAACACGCATCGAACGGTGGACGGTGCGGAGTTGGAAGCAGGTGGCCGTTTCGTTGAGCTGCTACGGAAGGCGACAAATCGGGTTGGTGTGGAGGAGGTGACTGATGCGGGCAGCACTGAAGCAGAGCAGGCAGGTGAAACAGAAATCAGAGCTGGAGAAACTCTCCTGAAACGTAGAGCAATTTCTTGAGTTCAAGGTTATATTTCTACCGATTTTGCGATGTACTGTACGTTCCCGCATAATGTGGCTAGAGGATTGAAACGCGCGTGGCATAGCTTCATTGAGGGCGGAAAGCAGATGTCCTGCGGAGAGGGGAGGGGAGGGGAGGGGAGTGGACGCCCTCCCAGGGGGATCCTTCAGCTTGTGGGCAGGTGGGGAGGGGAGCTCTGGTTCTCAGTGCGCGGGAAAGAAAGGGACGGCGGAAATGGGAGGGGTTGGGGGAAGGGGAGAAATACTAGCAAATCGAAGCGCCTCTGAGTACCGAACAGCACTAGAAAACCGTTGCTGCACGCGCCGTCGTCTTTGCCGCTGGACTAGGGGGGCCGCTGCTGTACTCCTGCTCTCCTGCTCTGCTCCTACCTCCTGACCTAGGCAAGCAGCATAGCTTGGTTCTACACCTGACTGAGTTACTGCTCTCAGCCGAAACATTTAAATGTTTTGTACAGTCGATATTGCGAAAATCCTCTAGCTCTTTCTCCCCTACAGGCAGTCCCACCTGCCAGTTACGACAAGCGCAGACTTTTAGCAGGTGCAATTATTCCGTGGGTGCAACACCTATGTACGCACCCGACTAATGGAAACAATCGCAGCCATATTGTAAAACATTTGTTACCATTAGAAATCGTGTGTTCCACGTCAATGCGTTCCTGAGTGGTCGATGACCAGTTGCGAACGCAATGTGTCACAAACACAAAACAATCTCACCGTTGCAATCTACCTACTCATGGGCTGATGCCGAAACACCTCGCCAGCCAATCGACACATGCTATTTGCGATGATGGAATCATGTGGAGTTCCGCGACGTACTCCTCCTCGTTGATGTGCGGTCCAGTATTGAAATAATGGTTGTTTTGATCGTTGTTTTGTCAGAAGACAAGGATGCTAGGAACGGTAGATGGTCATGAAATTGTGTAAGGGTTTAGCTAGGAGAGGAATTTGACGAGAGAAAAGAGGTCGAGAATAGAAGAGAGAGGGATACAATGAGGGGGGTTGTACCCTCTACAATAGGTTTCAGTAACACCTACCAAGCTTACCAATTATATATAAAATATATAATTTAACACACCCCCTAGGCTTGGTAGTCGAAAGCACACCACACACGGGACATTAAGCCACACACCCCCCCTAAATCTAGCAACCCCATACTTAGTAGCAGCGACGGCTACACCAGCCCGGTTAACCCCTCGGTGCGTAAGGCGGCGACGTCAACAACAAGGGCTGCGGCGGCGACGACGGTGGCAGCGTCGACAGCAGTGGCGGCAGCGGCGTGCGGTAGCATGGCCCCAACGCAAGCGGCGACAGCGGCGGTGGCGGCAGCTTCGACAATAGCGGCGGCAGGGCTCACAGCACTCGGTGGCGTGTCCGGGCTCAACGACGGTAGGACGGCCAGCGGGAGTCAGCCATCGGCTGCGGTAAGGAAGAGGGGACGTAGGGAAGGGGGGCAGGGCTTCTGCAATATGCCCGTGGCTGGCGTGCGGGCGTCAGAACCGGATGCGCTTAAGACGTTACGCGGCCTGCTGCCGCCCGTCAACGCTGCCACTGCAGCATAACGCCACCTCCACAGCGCGGCGTCGATGCCGCGGCGGTACGTCGACGCTGTGACGGCAGCACGACGCTGCGGTGTGCCGTTGACGCCACGCGTCGGAGCTGCGCTGGCAGCACCACAACGCCGTCACTGCAGTACGGCATGGCCGCGACGGCGGCACGAAAGTAGCGGAAATGACGACTGAAGTACGAGTACGCGGTGGAAGCATAGGGAGCAGGCCCGGAAAGGGCAACCTGCTCTGATACCATGTCAGAAGAACATGATGTTAGGAACGGTAGACGGCCATGGAATGGCGTGAGGGTTTAGCTAGGAGAGGAAGTTGACGAGAAAAAAGATGTTGAGAATAGAAGAGAGAGGGATACAAGGAGGGGGGTTGTACCCTCTATAGTATAATCAATTGACGGTGTGGAATTAAATCTTGTTTTGTTCTAATGGAAACACATCAATTAACGTGCGCACCTGAAACCCAGAGTGGACACGCCATGCGAACACCTCTCGACATGCCTACGTGGACCATATCGCAGCTAATGATAGCGGTCCCGCCCTTACCAACTGCAGATACGACAGAGTCCTCGCCCCTACCAGCTGCACATACGACAGCGCTCATACTTTCTTTGGAACGCTACAAGCAAATTTGTCAGGGGCATACCACTATATGCATTAAGTGTCTCATTCCAACGTTCTTGGACTTTGCACGACGGGAATACAACCTGTACTCAGCATGACACACTTTGACCCTGAGTTTTCAGCTCTACAAGCTAAAAAATATTGAGTTTGTCGAAAGTGGGTGATCGGCTCAGGGCCCAAAATTGGTTTTAGGCCACTCTTTGAGATCAGAGTAGGAAAAAAAAAATGCCCTGACGGTCAGAGCTAAAAAAATTCTAAGTCTGATTTGGCAGGGTAAAAAAATTCGAAGTCTTTGCTTCAAGTGTAGAACTCTTTGCACCCTTTCTAGCCTTGGCCATTTAAGGAACATTTTACATGAATGAAGTGGGCTGCACTGAGGTGTGGAAAGAAGGGTGTAGCGGATTTGCGCGTGTTGGGGGAGATTGGGGGATGGGATGGGACGGAAAACGATTCTGGGGCGCGAGAGGGGAATCAGATTTACATGGGCGGCAGAGGGGCGGGAAAAAAACCATCTGCTCGTGATTGGTTGGGTGTCAGAAGGGCGTATACGACGTGACGTGTCTTGCTGTGGTGTGGAGGACTTAGCGAAAAAAAAAAAGTAGCGGGGGTGTGGTTGGGAGGCATGTCTCTTGTGGGGGACTTAGCCATTTCTGGGTTGCGAGGGGGTGAGGGAGCTATGACTCTGGCTACGACTTAGCCGAAATTGCTGGCTTGCATGGTGCGTGGGGTGGGAGGAATGACTCTGGCTGCCAGGGACTTCGTCGAAATTTTTGGTTGCAGGGTGTTTTGGGGGAAATGTTTCTGGCCGCCAAGGACTTAGTCGGAATCTCGGAGTTTCGATACCAGGGTAGTTTTCAGGACGCCCTGAAGGGTCAGGGTTCGGGGCCCCGCAACCCTAGTTTCGGCAGGGTAATATTTTCGTAACACTTTTTGGATCAGGGTAATAAATTTCGTAAGTCTGATTTTTAAGACCAAATGAAAAAATGCCCTGAAAAATCAGGGCAATCAGGGCATTTTACCCGGCTAATTTGAGCCCTGGATCGGCTACTCAAGTTTTAAGCGATTTCGACTTTCGGCACTTGGAAATGGTGCGGGCAACTTTCCTACTGCCTAGGCAAGAAATAAGAATCATATGAAGAAAGGAATCTCGAAGATTTCTGCTCGAAGCAACACCGGAACCGCGCGAGCTACTGTGGATTTCCAGCATGAATGTCCCGTTTGCACGGGGTTCGTGATGTGGGTTACAGTTGCAAGACGAAATGAATTAAAAAAACTCACTTGTAGAGTGTCGAAGGTGCAGAAGGGAGGGAAGGACTGTGAGGGAGATGGCAGTTACCAACTTGTCGTGTCGTGACTGTTTGTCACAATCGCCTGAAACCCGCATGCCTCTTGAATCAGGGTTGAATTGACAATCGTGGTGAGCAGCTTGTTTTGACCAATCCAGGCTCGATAATCTGTCATTCTCGTCTGCCCGTTAGCTCAGCTTTCCAGAACACTGTTCAGCAATTTGCGGGGCTAGTTCCTGGTCAAAGAAATTCGCCCTCTAGGGTTTTCAACCCTTCACCCAAGAAGCCTGCCAGCACAGGCACCGTCAGCCCAGTCCATGAGGGTGACAACCTCGAGATCAGGCGATGTCGACATGTACATTATAGCGAGCGAAAGTACTTCGCGGTGTACCATGGAACTGACGCTAAATTTGTACCTGATGCTGCTTAATCGGCATCAAACAAAAACAGGTAAAATATTAGATGGCTTGATTATCCAAGGCAAAATCCATGTACAAGTTCAGCACAAAATTCTCATCACGCAAGATTCATGTTACAGAGACAAGCTCCATGGCACTTCGATGACATGGCACAACCCCATGGTGACAACTAGATTTGTAGCTGTGACGTCCAGAATCATGATTCGGTAACCACTGGCAGGGCAAGCGGCACGAAAAGTGTGCTGTAGATTATGCTTGCATGAGTGGGATGTGAGTGTTTATACGCGTGTGGGTGAGAGGGGGGGGGGAGTGGAGAGGACCAGGGAGGAGGGCCATGAGTAAGATACCAGGGAGCCTACAGTAACAACAGTCCAGCAGCTAACCAGCAGCAAACCAGCAGCAGTCTTAGAGCTCAGTGGAAGAGGCAGCAGCAGGGGAGGGGGAGGAGGAGGAGAGGAAGCCTTTGCCCCCCAGAAAGCCCACAATGAAGAAGATAAGAGCCACCAGAAGCAGTGCTGTGAAGGACCACCCCTTTGGCCGTTGCACCGCTGCCTTGTTCCCTGCCTTGCCTACTTGCTCCTGGGACGCACAGAGAGAGCAGGAAGTCAGGAAGACAGGGGAGATGGAAGGGGAGATAGAGCAGAGGATGCAGTGGTGTTGATAGCAATGAGCAAGATAGAGGCGTTATGAGCGGGAGTGGGGGTTGGGTGGGTTGGGATGTGGATACGATGTAGGGCGAGTAGAAGAGAAGACGACCGAGGTGCATGTAGGCATTGAACAGGTTGGGTGGATGGTGGACTCTGGATGATGGACGGTGGACGGTGGACAGAGGATGGTGGATGGTGGACGGTGGATGGTGGATGGCGGATGGTGGATGGCGGATGGTGGATGGTGGATGGATGGTGGATGGCGGATGGCGGATGGTGGACAGTGGATGGTGGATGGCGGGTGCGTTACCTTGAGTCGTTGCAGCTCTCTGACTGCTGCATTTCTATCATCAGTTATCTTGGTCAGTGCTGTCTTTGCCTGTTGGCCACACAAGAAGTGCACAAGAGGAAGCAAGAGGAGAAGGAGATGCACAGTGCAAAACGTCGCGAACGCAGAAAAAACACGGCATGCTTCATTAAGCCAACCTCACCCCTCAATCAAAACGGTGCAGCCTCCGGAGCATCCTGACTCAGTCCCCTACCACCTGTACATGCAGCGCCCACTTTCACCATCTTACCCCATCCGGACCGTCTACCACTGCCCATCTCCCCCCCCTCTCCCCCCTCACTTCGCCACACACTGTCCCTTGTCCTGTTGTCTAGTTCATCTGCTTGCCCCGCCACGCCGAACGCCGGCTCCTCTTTCCCATCTTCTCCCTACTTGAACACCCTCCATTCAGGGCGTGCGCTTGCTTGGACCATGGCCTTGACCCTTGTTCCATTATCACTCGTTCGTTCTCCCCTTCCTCTCTGCCCGACTCCCTTTATTGCCCTTGCCTTCCCAATCCTGTTGTCACTTCCTGTCTCCAAAGTTACCCTTCTTTCCGTGCCCCATTCCTGCACTCCCGTTTCCCCCTAACCCGCCTTTGGCCCCTTTTCCCTTGCCATGCCCCCCAATCCCCTGCCCCGCCCCTCCTCTCCCCCCTCCCTCCCCCCCTTTCCCTCCCCCTCCCCCCCCCCTTCCCTTACACACCTCTGTGAGTTTGGCCTTAAGCTCCGTCACATCCCTAGTGTTCTGCGGGGAAAGAAAGGAGCATCATCCCCACACACAAGCACGGGAGCAAACGCACGGCACACATGAACGGGCACACATGAACGGGCACACATGAACGGGCACACACACGGACATCAGCAAGTGAAGAGCATCAACAAGCCCCCCTGCACACGACTGCACCGCACACTTGGTTGCGCCAGGGACCCAAGTTTCTAGAACCTGGGGCAAGTGTTTCACAGTTGGTTGGGAAAAACCAGGTTTATTGTCGTGAGGGTGCGTGAATTGCAACACTTGCAGGCGATTTCACTGGTGCCTACAGCTCGCCGGCCAATCAGTAGTTTTAGTCCCAACCAACTGTTTTACAGTTGGTAAACTTGGGTCCCTGGCTTTAAGCACTCTCGAATTCGTGCACGGGCATGCCAGTGCGCGCGAGGGTGCGCGCGAGGGTGCATGCGAGGGTGCTTGCGAGTGTGCGCGCGTGTGTAGTGCGTGCGCGCACACCTAGAGCATGAACGCGGAGCGGATATAGACGCATGGACCAGAACGGACGCCGTCGCGCCTGTGGCTGCGTACGCGCCATAGTCAAACCCCAAGTCAAGCCACATATGAAACCCCAGATGAAGCCCCAGCTCAAACCCCAGATCAAGCGCCAGCTCACCGGGTCAGAGGGAGTGAGCCCCTTGGCCGTGGGCGGGAACGCGCTGGGCGTTGCGCCTTCCTCCGCGGACTCCGCCACTGGCGACGGCGGCTGCGGGGGAGCCACGTACAGCACGCGCAGCTTCACCTCGTGCACCTCGCGCCCGTTCTCCTTGTTGAACTGCGCGGCAGGGGGGGGTGGGGGTGGGGGGAACGCAGGCATGCAGGGGTTGTTCCCGGCTCAAAACAGGGTGGCGGAAGGTAGGAGCGGCCTGCGGGGGGGGCACGTATAGCGCGAGCAGATTCACCTCAGGAATCCTGCCCGTTCTCCTTGCTGAACTGCGCGGCAAGGGCGGGTGGGGCAAACACAGTGGGGCGTGGGGAGCATGAGAGGGTTGAGGGAACAGGGAGGCTCGAAACAGGGTGGGATGTGGAGCTCGCGCAGCTGCACCTCGTGCACCTCGCGCCCGTTCAGCCACCGAGTAGCATCGGCACCACCGAGGGAGGCAAGCCAACGCAGCGACGAATAGCCGAAGGCCAAGGATACAGGGCGTGATTCGAGAAGCCAGGGCGGCGGAGGGAGTTGCGGGTGGGGGGAGACGAGCGTTGGAACAGGACGAGGCAGCTGGGAAGATATTTTAGGCGCCTCAGGAATGAGGCAGCTGAGAATACTCGAAGCCCGCCCGCCTGCTAATATGCGCTTCAAAGCACGGAACACTTCTAGAACACTATGGCAACTCACCACACTCGAATACACAAGCAAAACCCAGCGTCCGCACACTAACCACGTCAGAGCTTCACAGCACTTCACAACGCTCCTCATACCATGACACGCACAACACGCGCCAGCACATGGTCAAGTCATGTACCCCAGCCGTATCTTACGAAGTCAGGGTTGGCTTCCTCGGGAGCTCCGCCCGGCACAAGCACGCTCTGTACAAGAAACTTGTCCTTGCACTGCATGTCCGCAGGCATCTCCTTCTGCGCTTGCATCGTCACTGCGGGGACGGAGGAGAGAGGGGGGGAAGGCGATCAGGGAAGAATGTTTGAGGCGCCTAAAAACATCGAAGCACGCTCTGTACGAGAACCTTGTCCTTGCACTGCATGCCCGCAGGCATCTCCCTCTGCGCTTGCATCGTCACTGAGTAGGTAGGGGAGGAGAGAGGAAGGAGGGCGATCAGGAAGGGGATGGAAGTCGCATTATGCCCATGCGCGGAGATATTAGCGAACGAGCAACGCAGCGAGCGGCAAAGGCGATCAGACATCGTGGTTGGGCAAGGACGACACGACGCCGCGTGATGAAGTCCGGAGGTCACTGACTTGGGGACGAGCCCCGTTCCAAGCACACTTGCAACGCAATCATACTTAACAGAAGGTCGGGTCGGAAGGAAAAAAGAAGGAAAGAAAGAAAACCTACCAACAACACGACAAGGAGGGGAAGAGAGACGGGGGAGACATGTTGGGCACTTACCAACCACCTCCGCGCTGCTCTGAGGCGGAATAAGGCCCGTGTTGGGCCTCACGCAGTACTTCTTCGGGGAAGTTGTCTTGACCTGACGGAGGGAAGAGCCGGATGGACAGACGCATAAGCAGTGGAGGTGATGAGAGAGTAAAAAAAATAAAAAAAATCGGAAGGTTAGGATCTCCATGAAAGATGATGCTGGGACAAAGCAACAAACGTTTCCCATAGTTTCCCTTTGTCCGCCACGTTTCCATGGACAAAACCAACTGACTAAACTGGGCCACAATCGCAAGGCCACAATCGCAACAATGGTAAAAAAACCACAGCAATTCTGGAACACGAACACCAACAAAAAGAGGGAAAATCCATAAACACTCGGATACCTTGAAAGCGACATGTTCGGAGGTGACATTGACTAGCCGCAAGGATGTCGAGACTTGCTTCTTCAACTCAACTGCGGATCGCACAGGGAACCAGACAATGAAACCAGGAGCGATTCTCATTTCGTGAAATCGCGAGGAGGTATGATCGACTGAACGAACCTGCAAGCAGCAAGTCTCAGCGAGTGACAGGCAGCGACCGTTTCATAAGGGAAAAAAAAAAGCTACAGGGTACTACACACACTGAAGAGGGGGGTATTTAACAAACAAACAAACAAACACATCAAAACTTATAGAAACTTTCTGACAAGGGCCTCTGGCTGGCGTTCGGATCCTTACACGTGAACTTCAGCTCCAGGGGCTGCACGCTCAGGATCTCCCCTAACATGGTGGTGTGCCGGCTCTTGGACACTAACAAGCAACAGACGACAGACTAAGCCACTGATCAGGAAACAATCAGCTATCCGTCTTGGTGCAAGAGCCGAACGACGATTTCGCGGCGGAAGTTAGGAAGGCTAAAGCCGCCGAGTACAAACCGTCTGGCTCGAAACGAACTTATTCGGTTACACACTCGGGGAACAGCCAAGCGTAGACGGAGGAGAGCAACGACTGACGGGAAAGGAAAATTTACACTGGAGTCATGGATTTTTTTCAGATGCATTCAGTGCTACGGAGATCTATGGAAACCGGGGGGGACCCAGGCTGTGTGTGAAGGAGAAGGGGAAACTCAAGTTTGGTGTTGGAGAAAAGAGGCCGCTGGCCCGTGATTGCTGGTCTGGGGCTGGCTCGGGCTCGTCATGCAACGCTGTTGACAGCGGATTGGTTGGGAAGGTTTCGGCTCGAGGAAGGTACAGAGGCCAGTCTGGTCTTTGGTTTGGTTAGCTTGTGACGGGACCCGCATGGCGCCCTCTGAGAGGGCCCGTGACCTTGGGAGAGCCAAACCGGACCTAGGGAGCTCCACAAGTCAAGCTATCGCTGCAGGCTCGGTTCGCCTGAACTCGTGGGGGAAACGGGGCTGCTGCCAGGCTCGTTTAGAAGCCTTTGGAAGCCATTTCAGATGGCGGGAAACCGAGATATGCGGAAGTGGTGAATACCAGCCGTCCAATCGTGCGCAAGATAAACTTTCTGGGAAACTCGTGAGAGTATTACCACGCTGCTAATAGATCCCATACATATTAGAGTGCAGCACAATACCCGAAAAAACACTCTTAGCAACTAGAAGTGGTTACTTCTCATATTTATTTCAGATGGGTTAACAAAGCACTTCAACAATCTGCTGTACTTCACTAACCGAAATGCCTGCCAGGAGCTCGCAGATAATGGAGCATAGAAGCCGCCTGAGAATGCGCTTGCAGCTGGTTTTGAGGCCAAGAATAGTTCAACGGCAGGACACCACGACTGTGCTGATACAATAAGCCTGCTTGCTGCTGCTGCAGCTGCCATCGCAGAAGGTCCTGCTGCTGCTGGTCGTATGAGGAGAGTGAGGTGGTGAGTGGGGCGGCGCCATTGGCCGTAGCCATGCCATTGCCTGTGGCAGCAGGGTCCTCCGTTGCAGCTGCGGGTTTCGCTCCAGAGTTTGATATCTGAACAATGGGGCACACAATGTGATTGAACACACAGAGAGGGATGGAACCAACCAAGAAACGCCGATCAGTCTTCAACCGGAGCTCGCCACTCAAAGAAATTTCCTCTATCATACACACGAAAATTTTGTATGCAAAGCATTTTTCTCTCCTAGTCTACATTCCAAGGTCACAACTGCACAGGAATTTTCTTCCCTAGAAAAGAAAAGTGCAGCTTACCTGTAGCCACCTTTACCCCCAACACTCCCAGGGCCTTCCAGACACCACCCACCAGTAAATCCCCAACCTAACTGGTGCTCAGGCACCATCAGGCCCCATCAATTAGACACCATCAGACCCCATCTGGCCCCAACTGCTGACAGGCAGCAGTGCACCTGGAACCTCAGCTGGCGGTTGAAGAGCCTGACGAGCCTGGAAAAGAGCTTCACAGCTTACTGTGCGCTCTCCTCCGTCTCGTACTCCGCTTTGAGTCGGCACAAAACGAGATTACCAACGCACCTGGAACCTCAGCTGGCGGTTGAAGAGCCTGACGAGCCCGGAAAAGAGCTTCACAGCATACTGTGCGCTCTCCTCCGTCTCATACTCCGCGAACCCGTACCCCCGGTGCTGCCCTGACGCCTTGTCCCGCGGCATGTGCAGATCCACCAGAGGCCCCGCCTGCTGCATCAAATCGTACAGAATCCGATCGTCCACCTGCGGGTCCAAATTCGCTGGGCGGAGGGATAGGAGGAAGCGGGTAGGGGAACGACGGGAGTGGGGAAAGTGGAGGGGAATGGAAGGGAGTTGAGGGGAGTTGAGGAGGGTGAAAGCGGGTGGAGAGGGGTTGGTCGGTTCACAGCTAAACTTCTCTGGCAGAACTCGGCAGTTGCATGAGTAAAGTAGTATCAAGTAAGTTGCAAAAGCAGCGGGTAACCTTGGCTACAAAGGCACATGAGCGGTACCTACAAAGACCGTCGCGGGAGCGAATTCTTCCACAGCTACCTGGTTACGTAATGGCAGGCATAAGGGCGTTACCTCCTCAGGTGATATTTTAGTCGACACAAGAATCACCCGCAGCTTACATGGTTACCTAATGGCAGGTATAAGGGAATTACCTCCTCCAGCTTACCTGCTAACACAGGAATAAGTTACACCTGGTAAGAGCGTTACCTACGAAGACCGTCGCGAGCGAATTTCGCGCCATGGATTCGAAGCGACTCGCACTGCGCTCTGATACGCTCCGACTATCGACAGGACCTGGTTACCACGCGCGGAAGGGGACTGGCTGAAAGAGGTTGAAAGAAAAAAGACACTAGGACGACCCCGCGGGATCAGCACACGGACTGGCAGCGACCGATGAGCGGGAACACTGGAGGCGAAAGAACGAAGCAACGCATAGCACGGAAAACAACGGGGGAGAAAGTTGCCTTAAAGCCGCTGACCCAAAACGTACAAGAATAATAAACTTGACAGGGCAAAACGTTGGGCAAGGCATCGAGCAAGGGTGTGGAGCACAGGCTCAAGGTGGCGAGAGAAGATCAGGGCTATGCGAACATCGCAAATCCCCACACGACGACAACACGAAACGCAGGAACAACACAACCAATCAGAACGTGGGAATTCCCCGATAGCACAACCAAGTGCACAAAAGACAAAAAGTAGGGGGAGCACATGAGCGGAAACACGGAAGAAGGGGCGCGCAACACACAAGGGGGGGGGGGAAGACCCAACATCAGGCCCAGCAGCGAGGCGATGGAGAAGCAATCAAGCACAGTAAGGGCGTGTATCATTTGTAATAAAACCACAGGGTCGCCCAAAGTCACGACAGGGTACAGTGCGTTTCCGCACGATCGAGAAGTTTTGGGCCTATTCAGAAGCGGTGATTTGACGTTGAACCGCGACGTCTTGCTGTTCAAGCTACTTGAACCTTCCCCAAAACCCAGGGTCACGAATGGCACAAAACAGCAACACTTGCACAGGCAGAAGGGAACTATTGGAAGGCAAGGTGCCTTCTGCTGGGCGCACTCTGGCACCACGCAACTCTGCAGCAGAGAACGGCAACGTTACCCACAACTAAGCAGCATTAGACAGCGGTAGAACCAGGATTAGCAGCATACAAAGAGAGACGACATTTTTGGAGCGCGCAGTAAACTCGACAGCGGCGGAAAACGCTGCGGGAGGGCAGCGCGACGCGAGTCCACGCGGACAGCGCGCATTAGTGCCCGTACAGCTCATGGCCCGCAAGCGACAAAAACCGAGAGGAGACAGGTGAGGATCTAGTCCCGGGGTGCACTAACATCGCGCGCAAAAGAGACGGCAAGGGTAGCGCACGAAAGGAGGATCGAAGCGAGACGCTCACCCAGGGAGGGCCGATACAAGCGCGACGCGAGAACGTGAGGCATCCATCCGCTGCACCCGCGAACCACACATGCGTGCGCGCGCCAACAAGCGACGCGTGCGGTGAGCCCCAACGACAGAGCACGCGGTGCGTCGCACGCGCCCCACATTACCGTAAAACAACTTCCAAATAACAAAATGGAAAACCGCGCGCCGCGGTGTAAGTAGCAACTGGGAGGAGAAAAGGCCAGACGCAGCTTGGAGGTGAGATAAGGGGTATAAGGGAGGAGAGACAAAGGGGAGAGCCGAGAGGAGAGAAAGGGGAGAGCCGAAAGGAGAGGAAGGGGAAAGCAGAGAGGAAAGGACGGGGAGAGCCGAGAGGAGAGGAAGGGAAAAGCCGAGAGGGGGATAGCAGGTGAGAGCCGAGTGGAGAGGAGAGGACGGGGAGAGCCGAGAGGAGGGGAAGGTGAGAGCCGAGAGGGGGATAGCAGAGAAGAGCCGAGAGGAAAGGAAGGAGAGAGCAGAGAGGATAGGAAGGGGAGAGCCGAGAGGAGAGGAAGGGGAGATCCGAGTCGAGAGGAGAGGAAGGGGAGAGCAGAGAGGAGAGGAAAGGTGGGTGTCGAGAGGAGAGGAGAAGAAGGGGAGAGCCGAGAGGAGAGGAAGAGGAGAGCCTAGAGGAGAGGAAGGGGAGAGCAGAGAGGAGAGGAAGGGGAAAGCCGAGAGGTGTCGCAATGGGCAGGTGGGAAGTGACTTAAGGAGGACGCTGAGAAGAGAGTCAAAGTGCAGCCGGGAGGTTAGTTAGGGGGGGAGCTGAGAGAATTGTCAAAGTGGCTGCCGGGAGGTGAGTAAAGGGGGAAGCTGATAGGTGACATAATGGGCATCAGGGAGATGAGATAGGGAGGAAGCTGAGAGGTGACAGGATGGGCAGCAGGGAGTGAGTCAGGGGGGAAGCTGAGAGGTGCAATGCGACGGGGGGCAAAGCCAGGCGGGGGGAAGCGGGGGGGGGGAAGCTGTGAGGGGGGAAGCAGGAGATAGCTGAGAGGGGGGAAGCTGAGAGGGAGAAAGCTGAGGCAGGGGAAAGGCTGGGAGGGGGCGAGCAGAGAGGGGGTATGCTAAGAGGGGGAACACTTGGTGGGAGAAATAACGTGGGGGGCAGAAGGGAGGGGCAAAGCTAAGATTGGGAACGCTGAGATGGAGAAAGCTGCGAGGGAGTTTGCTGAGAGGGAGAAATCTGAGAGGGGAAAATCTGAGTGAGCGTAAGCTGGGGGTTGGGGGAACGGAAGCTGTGAAGGGGAAAGCTGTGAGGGGGAAAGCTGTGAGGGGGAAAGCTGTGAGGGGGAAAGCTGTGAGGGGGAAGCTGTGAGGGGGAAAGCTGTGAGGGGAAAGCTGTGAGGGGGAAAGCTGTGAGGGGGAAAGCTGTGAGGGGGAAAGCTGTGAGGGGGAAAGCTGTGAGGGGGAAAGCTGTGAGGGGGAAAGCTGTGAGGGGGAAGCTGTGAGGGGGAAAGCTGTGAGGGGGAAGCTGTGAGGGGGAAAGCTGTGAGGGGAAAGCTGTGAGGGGGAAAGCTGTGAGGGGGAAAGCTGTGAGGGGGAAAGCTGTGAGGGGGAAAGCTGTGAGGGGGAAAGCTGTGAGGGGGAAAGCTGTGAGGGGGAAAGCTGTGAGGGGGAAAGCTGTGAGGGGAAAAGCTGTGAGGGGGAAGCTGTGAGGGGGAAAGCTGTGAGGGGGAAGCTGTGAGGGGGAAAGCTGTGAGGGGGAAGCTGTGAGGGGGAAAGCTGTGAGGGGGAAAGCTGTGAGGGGGAAGCTGTGAGGGGGAAAGCTGTGAGGGGGAAAGCTGTGAGGGGGAAGCTGTGAGGGGGAAAGCTGTGAGGGGGAAAGCTGTGAGGGGGGAAGCTGTGAGGGGGAAAGCTGTGGGGGGGAAGCTGTGAGGGGGAAAGCTGTGAGGGGGGAAGCTGTGAGGGGGAAAGCTGTGAGGGGGAAAGCTGTGAGGGGTAAAGCTGTGAGGGGGAAAGATGTGAGGGGGAAAGATGTGAGGGGGAAAGATGTGAGGGGGAAAGATGTGAGGGGGAAAGATGTGTGGGGGAAAGATGTGTGGGGGAAAGATGTGTGGGGGAAAGCTGAGGCAGGGTCCGCCGAGTGGGGGAACGTTGAGTGGGGGTAAGCTTGGAGGGGGTAGCCTAAGGAGGGGCAAAGTTTAGGTGGGGGAAAACTGCTGCCACCTCTCTCCCCATGGCTTATTGCTTGGGTTTGTTCCATGCTGCCTATGCTGTGGGGTCCTTGCGGCTGATCAACCAGGTTGTGCGACTGTGCTTGGTGTCCTTGTGGCAGGTTTCCATGCGGCGGCACATCTCAGCCCCTCCCTGACTCTGGATACTGCCAACCAGTCGTGGGAGATTCTTGGGGGACGTGTCACATGCGCCGGTCTTGGTGTTTGGGGACGGTTTCTGCCAGCTAACCGCTTTTGAGTTGCTGGCCATTGCAAACACTACGATTCAAAGGATCTTGCAGGCGGTTGGGTGCACAATCCATTGACATGGGCGAGGGGGGCTTCGCATTGTGTGTGTCATGGGGCCACTCTCGTGGCTCATGGCGTTAGGCGGATGGATAGGTTGCATCTGTGTGTACTGACTCTACTGTGTAGACTTCACTGCAGGGCAGGGCAGGCAATGTGTGTGGCTGAAGGGAACTCTTGACAGTTTCATGCGTCCCTTTTTTAGGGTGTTTAGTTGAGGGTGCATTTGTGCATGGGGGTGCTGCTAGCTCATGGTTGGCGAGCCTCTATAAAATGGCAAAAACGGACCATCATTCTGCATGCCGTTTCCATGTTATTGGTATGGTACCGTATACGATTGTTTATAAACAGCAGCTAATATCATGGCTTTTGTTACCAACACACGGTGCAAGTAGCACCCTAGACCCCAACACATTACCACACCCCTCCCCATACAGCCATCCTCCATCCCTCATCCCACCCTCCATTCCGCCTCAAGCGACCCTCCTTTTCGCCACCTGTCTCTCAATCCCCCCACTCCCCCTCCTGTCACGCTCCTTCCCCCTTGCTGTCATCCTCCTCTCCCCCTCTGGTCCCATCTGTCAGAAACTAGCTTAGCTAGGAAGCCATAGAATGGCACAAGGTTTAGCTAGGAGCTAGGAGGAGCCATGAGAATGGCGAGAGGTTTTAGGTGCTAGGAAAGTTGAGGAGAGAAAAGATGTTGGATTAGAAGAGAGGGGAGTACAAGGAGGGGTTTGTACCCCCTACAGAAAGGTTCAGTAACAACCTACCAAGCCTATATTAAATTATAACTTATATAATTTGAACACACCCCCTAGGCTTGGTAGTCACATGCCCACACACACCCACACCCCCTAACCTAGCACCCCCATTCCAGCCACAGTGACAGCGACTCTAGGGCGGTCGACCCCACGGCGCGTGAGGCGGCGACGTCGACCGCAGGGGCTGCGGCGGCGACGGCAGCAGCGGCGGCAGTGTCGACAGCGGCAGCGGCGGCGGCGTGCGGCTGCGTGGCCCCGACGCAAGCGGCGACAGCGGCGGCGGCGGCGGCTTCGACAACAGCAGCAGCGGCGGCGGCACCTGCACCTCTCGGCGACGTGGCCAGGCCCCGCGACGATGGGACGGCCGGCGGGAGTCAGCCGTCGTCTGCGGAATGGAAGAGGGCACAAGGGAAGGAGGGGGGTGGGGGGGGGGGGGCGCCACAGGCTGACATGCGGGCGGCCGGTCTAGCGGCGCCACAAGCGTCACGCGGCCGGCTGCAGCCCGACGACGCCGTCATGGAGCGGCGTCGATGCCGCAGCGGGGCGTCGACGTTGCGACGGCAACACGACGTCGCCGTTACGCCGACCGCGCGCTGTCGCGTAGACGCCGCGGCAGCGTGACGGCGCCGTCACGTCGCGACAGCATCTTGACGCGACGGCGGAGCTGCGGCACGACGGCGCGGCCACAGCAGCTGGACGCGGGCGCCATGGACGTCGACGGCGGCGCCGCGGCACGACGACGCGGCCACAGCAGCTTGACGCGGCCGCCATGGCAGCGCGAGATAGAGAGAGAAACGAGCACGCAGCGGAAACGCGAGGAGCAGGCCCACGCGGAACGAACTGCTCTAATACCATGT